TTTTTTTTTTACAATATGGATTTAATATTTTTTTATGATTTGATAATATAAACAAATCTATACTTAACTTTGACAAATAAAACAAATAAATACTTTAGTAAGTATTTAATGTATATACTAAATAGGAATATATTTGGTATAATCAAATACCAAATATAATCAAATAAGTCAAAGTGTACATTTTTATTTGGTATTTGATTTTTTTATTATTAAAATCTTTTTATTATACTTACCTTTTTAAAATAAAACAAATAAATAAATCAATTAAATAAATAAAATATTATAATACCAAAATAGTAATGACATTTAATGTAGTTGATTTTTCTGGATAGTAAATGTAGTAAATAGAATCTCCTTTTATATAAGTATAAATTGTATAATACGAAAATAATAATGTAATAAATGTTGTTGACTTTTCTTTATACTAAATCTGGTAAATGGTATACCTTTTAATATAAGTTTAGATTTCTATGGTAATATATTGTACCGAAATTTTCTTAGAAAATTTTAGTTCATATTTAACTTGAGTCAATCATACCGAAATTATCTTACAAATTTACTATTATAGAATCTACGAATATGTCCAAATTTATTCCAAATTAAAGCCCAAAGGTTAACTAGAGCAAATTTTCTTCCCATATTTGAGCATCTTTTGGAATTATCCAAAAACTAAAAGGAATTTATTGCCAATAAACACACCAAAATTATTTGTAGTTTAATAAATTACTTTATTACTTAAATTTTTTTATTTTGATAGTTTATAAAAAATAAATTCATTTTAATAATGAACACTGTAAGTTTATAATTATACGTATTATACACATAGATTTTTAAATATATAATAAAATTTTACCAAAATGATTATTTTCTGAATAAATATTTTAAAATTACCCTTATTTTGAAATGAATATAATGTATTTTATTATTAGTTACGTGAACCTTGTGTACTAAATTTAAATTGACATATTTATGTAATTTTGATATAAAATTCATATAATATTTTCAATAAATTAATCTAGGTAAATTGTCTTACATATTGATTCAATATTTCTAATTTATAAATATTAATTTATAAGTATTTTAATTTATAAATATTAATGAATATCTCTTACCCGTGCATCGCACGGGATTCGTACTAGTTACTATTAAAAATGCTTTAACAATTTCACAAAATTCACAAAAGTCACTAAAGCTACATCAAGTATATAAAAGTAATCAATTTTAAAGAGAGAAAGTTACAAATTTGGTCCCATAACTTTGACTCTTTCTCACATTTGGTCTCAGGCGCGCCATTTATGATCATTTTTAATTTTTCGTTGCCAAAATGGTCCCACGTCCGTCAAGATTGGCGGGGCTTATGTGAAGACGTTAGATTGAACCAATTTTGTAATTTTTGGGACCAATTTTGTAATTTAAAGAAAATAATAATAAATAAAATGAGTTCTTCAAGTTCGTCAATAAGAGAAGTCAGATTATTATGATGTTTAATTCAAAAGTGGAAAAAAATTACTTTTTTAATTAAATATTTTGACTTACTTTTAGAAGAAATTATTTGAATGAAATTTAAAATTAACAAGGCTCACGTGCAAGACGTTAGCAACTTTTGGAACCAATCATATGAGACAAATTTGGTAATTTCATATTTTTTAACTTGAAAGTCGAATTAGTCTCTCTCATTCACTCAAAGCCGAAATGACGTAGTAAAATTAATTTACTATGAATATGATGTGAGAAATAATATTAAAAATAATTTTATAAAAATAAATATCGGGTGGAAAAGTAAGAGAGTTGATAAATTTTAATTTGGGGTGGAAAAGTAAGCGATACAATTGCTAATGAGTGGTATTTATTTTATTTTCTAATATTTTTACCCTTATTACATCCCACAGACACAATCGTGATCGGGCAGAGGTTATATCCATCAGCTGTGCTTTTGAGTGTCGTCTCGAGTGATGACCTGTCAACCGGCGGTTATAACCTCTCGTTAACTTTGTCTGATGTTGTGGCTCAGTGGCAAAACCTCGTTTATTGGAAGCTGTCGATGGATGTCCAGGCGTACGTGAACTCGAACTACAATGTCGAGTTCTTGGAAGTCAACCAAACGGGCCTTTATTTGCACGGTCGAAACGGGTCGGCTGTCGTGATCTCGGTGAATTTGCCGCCGTCCGATTTCCGAACAGCGAGGATCGACGGCTCCGGTCAGTTTGTCGTCAGTAGTTTCGCGGGAGGCCTTCAGGCGGAAGAATACGTGCAGCCGGCCGACAAGCAATTTCTGTAAAATACGACCTTACTCGCCACTACCTATAGATATACCGTACATTTGCATTACACAGGCCACGCACTAATTTGCATACAAAAAGTTAATATATTTATGTTGTAATGCTATTAATCAAAGTATGTATCCACATAAGTAGACTACAATCACACATATAAATCGTAAAACATTTGCAGAAATATACATTATACATTTATTTTACATGTCTTTTTAAATTCATTTTACCATTAAACGTATTATGGATACTAGTACAGTCCCCGTGCGATGCACGGAGGTTTATTATCTCCGTCCCTTTTATAAAGCAATGTTCAGTTAAAATTCAAAGTACTTACTAAAGGAAAGATCATGTCATTAATAATAAATAAATTAATAAATACAATGATAATAAAATTTATATATTATTGAACACTTCTTTATATGCAACGTTCATGGTTTGATTCTTTGGCACGTCATCGTCGTCACA